TCTCGTAAATTTAGCTCTTCTGTACCTGATGGTGGCTGCTTGTGTTGCAACCGAAACGTCGTACGCTATTATGTTATTTTATTGTTTCTTATTTATACGTGACTTTACCGAAAAAAAGCAACGATTATTTAATTAATTCACCGCACTGTATAACGGACGAGAAACACTCCCCCGTACCAAGATGGCGCACGATTTTCACAAACACGCCTCCGATGACGTCAGAGCCACTACCCTCGCCCCCCACTATCCCCACCCCCTGTCGGCGAGCAGCATCGACGCGAACTGCCCGTGACGTCACAACGGATTGACTGACGCGCCCGCCCGCCATCTTGCTCAGGGCGCGGGTGGGCGAAGGAAGAGGTGGGGGGGGGTCAGCCCGTGACAATTCAATCGATGACGTCATGCCCGTGCGCGTGCGGTGACGTCATCGCGGCGGTGGTGCCGGGCGAGGTGTTCGCCTTTGAATGGGGAGCGGTCAGCGTCTCGGCGCTACCCGGGGGATCTTTGTCTTTGTAGGTGCTGCACCATCACAGCACTTGCCCCAACAGTCTGCTGAGGCTACACGGGGGATCTTTGTCTTTGTAGGTGCTGCACCATAGCAGCACTTGCCCCTACAGTCTGCTGAGGCTACCCGGGGGATCTTTGTCTTTGTAGGTGCTGCTCCATAACAGCACTTGCCCCTACAGTCTGCTGAGGCTACACGGGGGATCTTTGTCTTTGTAGGTGCTGCTCCATAACAGCACTTGCCCCTACAGTCTGCTGAGGCTACACAGGGGATCTTTGTCTTTGTAGGTGCTGCACCATCACAGCACTTGCCCCAACAGTCTGCTGAGGCTACACGGGGGATCTTTGTCTTTGTAGATGCTACTCGCTAACAGCACTTGCCCCAACAGTCTGCTGAGGCTACCCGGGGGATCTTTGTCTTTGTAGGTGCTGCTCGCTAACAGCACTTGCCCCAACAGTCTGCTGAGGCTACACGGGGGATCTTTGTCTTTGTAGGTGCTGCTCCATCACAGCACTTGCCCCAACAGTCTGCTGAGGCTACACGGGGGATCTTTGTCTTTGTAGGTGCTGCTCGCTAACAGCACTTGCCCCTACAGTCTGCTGAGGCTACCCGGGGGATCTTTGTCTTTGTAGGTGCTGCTCCATCACAGCACTTGCCCCAGCCGTCTGCTGAGGCTACCCGGGGGATCTTTGTCTTTGTAGGTGCTGCTCGCTAACAGCACTTGCCCCAACAGTCTGCTGAGGCTACCCGGGGGATCTTTGTCTTTGTAGGTGCTGCTCGCTAACAGCACTTGCCCCTACAGTCTGCTGAGGCTACCCGGGGGATCTTTGTCTTTGTGCACCTTGAGGCTTGCCACGTACAGTGTCAGAAAGGTGCTGCTGGCACGGTCACGTGACACCCTCACCACCACCCTCACCACCACCCTCACCACCCTCACCACCCTCACCACCACCCTCACCACCACCCTCACCACACTCACCACCACCCTCACCACCCCCCTCACCACACTCACCACCACCCTCACCACCCTCACCACCCCCCTCACCACCACCACCCTAACCACCCTCACCACCCCACTCACCACCACCACCCTCACCACCACCTTCACCACCCTCACCACCACACTCACCACCACCCTCACCACCACCACCACCCTCACCACAGTCACCACCACACTCACCACCACCCTCACCACACTCACCATCACCCTCACCACCACACTCACCACCACACTCACCACCAACCTCACCACACTCACCAACCCCCTCACCACCACCCTCACCACCACCCTCACCACCCCCCTCACCACCACCCTCACCACCCCCCTCACCACCACCCTCACCACCACACTCACCACCACCCTCACCACACTCACCACCACCACCCTCACCACCACACTCACTACCACCCTCACCACACTCACCACCACCACCCTCACCACCACCCTCACCACACTCACCACCACCACCCTCACCACCACACTCACCACCACCCTCACCACCACACTCACCACCATCCTCACCACCACCCTCACCCCCCTCACCACCCCCCTCACCACCCTCACCACCACCCTAACCACCCTCACTACCACACTCACCACCACCACCCTCACCACCACACTCACCACCACCACCACCCTCACCACCACCCTCACCACCCTCACCACCACACTCACCACCACACTCACCACCACCACCACCACCCTCACCACCACACTCACCACCACACTCACCACCACACTCACCACCACCCTCACCACAGTCACCACCACCCTCACCACCACTCACCACCACCACACTCACCACCACCACCACCCTCACTACACTCACCACGACCCTCACCACACTCACTACAACACTCACCACAATCACCACCACCACACTCACCACTACTCACACTACCCTCACCCAAGATGGCCGTCGACGCGTCAAGCGCCCACCGGCCACCACTCTCACTCTCACTCCCTTACTCTCTCTCACACTCTCTCACTCCATATCCCTCCCCCCTCTCTCTCACTCTCTCTCTCTCACACTCCCTCACTCCATCTCCCTCCCCCCTCTCTCTCTCTCTCTCACACTCCCTCACTCCATCTCCCTCCCCCCTCTCTCTCTCAAGCTGTCAATCTGTGCCAGACAAGAGGTGAGCAACAACCAACACAACCACCACCACAACCACCACCAACATAACCACCACCACCACCCACCACAACCACCAACCACCACAACCACCACAACCATCACCACCCACCACCACAACCACCCACCACCACCCATCATTAACCACCACCACAACCACCACCACCCACCACCACAACCACCAACCACCCACCACCAACCACCACCACCAACCACCACCACTACAACCACCCACCAACACCACCACCAACCACCACAACCATCACCGTCGTTCAACGTCCGTTGGACGTTGCGATCTGGCGCTGTTGGGGGTCTCTATGAGCAGCAGGCAGAACTCCATTACCCAGCTCCCATGTCTCTCTCCACCCACCACCACCCACCCACTCCCTCCACCACCACCCACCCACTCCCCCCACCACCACCACCCACCCACTCTCCCCCCATCACCACCACCCACTCACTCTCAAACATTCACCCACCCACTATCTCCCCACCCACCCTACTCTGCCCCCCCCACCCACTCCACTCTCCCCCCCACCCACCCCACTCTCCCCCCCCAACTCTCCCCACCCACCCCACTCCCCCCCCACCCCCCCACCCACCCCACTCTCCCCCCCACCCACCCCACTCTCCCCCCCACCCACCCCACCCCCCCACCCCCCCACTCCCCCCCCACCCACCCCACTCCCCCCCCCCACCCACCCCACTCTCCCCCCCCCACTCTTCCACCCCACCCACCCCACTCTCCACCCCACCCCCCCACTCAGCCCCCCACCCACCCACCCCACTCTCCACCCCACTCCCCCACCCACCCCACTCTCCCCCCCCCACTCCTCCCCCACCCACCCCACTCCTCCCCCACCCACCCCACTCTCCCCCCCCACTCCTCCCCCACCCACCCCACTCCCCCCCCACTCCCCCCTACCCCACTCTGCCCCCCACCCACCCCACTCTCCCCCCAACTCCCCCCACCCCACTCTCCCCCCCCACTCCCCCCCACCACTCTCCCCACCCACCCCCACTCCCCCCCCCACTCCCCCTACCCCACTCTGCCCCCCACCCACCCCACTCCCCCCACCCCACTCTCCCCCCCCCCCACTCTCCCCCACCACTCTCCCTACCCACTCCCCCTACCCCACTCTGCCCCCCACCCACCCCACTCTCCCCCCCACCCACCCCACACCACTCTCCCCCCCCCACTCTCCCCCACCACTCTCCCCACCCACCCACTCCCCCCCCCACTCCCCCCACCCCACTCTCCACCCCACCCACCAACCCCACTCTCCCCCTCCACTCCCCCCCACCACTCTCCCCACCCACCCACCCCACTCTCCACCCCACCCACCCACCCCACTCCCCCCCACCACTCTCCCCACCCACCCCACTCTCCCCTAGCAGCAGCAGCAGCACCGCTCCCCTTTGTGTGCGCTCTCTGCTCCTCGCTCTCGTCGAGTTTGCCATGGAGGAGGGGGGCTCGTGCAGCGAAACGTCGGCCGTGATACTCGGAGCCCGCGGGTCTTGCCTTTAAAGCCGCGGGTTTATTTAGAACACCGCACACGCAGGGAGAGTCGTGGTAGCTGTTGTAGGTATTGTTGTTGTTGTTGCTGCTGCTGCGTGGTTTATATATACATGTGTGTGTGCGCGTGTGCTAAGTGTGCTTCTGCACACTTAGCAGGCAGTAGCAGCAGGCAGTAGCAGCAGGCAGTAGCAGTAGCAGTCAGTAGCAGGCAACAGCAGGCAGTAGCAGGCAGCAGAAGGCAGCAGCAGGCAGTAGCAGCAGCAGGCAGCATAAGGCAGCAGGCAGTAGCAGCAGCAGGCAGTAGCAGCAGCAGGCAGTAGCAGGCAACAGCAGGCAGTAGCAGGCAGCAGTAGCAGCAGCAGGCAGTAGCAGCAGCAGGCAGTAGCAGCAGCAGGCAGCAGCAGGCAGTAGCAGGCAGCAGCAGGCAGCAGCAGGCAGTAGCAGGCAGTAGCAGGCAGCAGGCAGCAGCAGGCAGTAGCAGGCAGCAGCAGGCAGTAGCAGGCAGTAGCAGGCAGCAGCAGGCAGTAGCAGCAGCAGGCAGCAGCAGGCAGTAGCAGGCAGTAGCAGGCAGTAACAGGCAGTAGCAGGCAGTAGCAGGCAGCAGCAGGCAGTAGCAGGCAGCAGCAGTAGCAGCAGGCAGTAGCAGCAGCAGCAGGCAGTAGCAGGCAGTAGCAGGCAGCAGCAGGCAGTAACAGGCAGTAGCAGGCAGCAGCAGGCAGTAGCAGGCAGTAGCAGGCAGTAGCAGGCAGCAGCAGGCAGTAGCAGGCAGCAGCAGGCAGCAGCAGCAGGCAGTAGCAGCAGCAGGCAGCAGCAGGCAGTAGCAGCAGCAGGCAGTAGCAGGCAGTAGCAGCAGGCAGCAGCAGGCAGTAGCAGCAGCAGGCAGCAGCAGGCAGCAGCAGGTAGTAAGCAGGTAGTAGTAGGCAGCAGGCAGTGGTAGAATAATTCGCGGCTAGTTCTGCAAGGTCTACTTCAGTGGGGCCACGCGTGCGGGTAAAGTCACGCACAGACACACACACACATACACACAGACACACACACAGACACGCACACACACAGACACATACAGACACACAGACACACACAGACACACACACGCACACACACAGACACACACACAGACACACACAGACACACACAGACATACAGACACACACACAGACACACACACAGACACACACACAGACACACAGACACACACGCACACACACAGACACACACACAGACACATACAGACACACACACAGACACGCACACACACAGACACACACACAGACACACACACAGACACACACACAGACACATACAGACACACACACAGACACACACACAGACACACACACAGACACACACACACAGACACACACACAGACACACACACAGACACATACAGACACACACACAGACACGCACACAGAAACACACAGACACACACACACAGACACACACACAGACACACACACAGACACACACAGACATACAGACACACACAGACACACAGACACACACACAGACACACACAGACATACAGACACACAGACACACACACGCGCGCGCATCCGGTGCGTTAATGTCGAGTGCTTTCGAGGATTTGTTTGCTTCGTTGATAGAACAACAACAACTTCTAACTAACTACTCACTGTCTTCTAACTAACTACTCACTAACTTCTCACTAACTATTCACTAACTTCTAACTACCAACGAATCGTAATAATCCCACACGTTTGTTTGTTGTTGGGAGAGAGAGAGAAAAAAATAATCTCAATGTAAAAAAATCCAATGTTGGTTGTTGTTGTGGGGAGTTTGTGATGTCTCAAAACAAAAATTCTGACCGACGATGAAACAAAAGGAGAGAGCGGCGAGTGGTGATGGGTCGGGGCCGGCTCGGTCATGGAGGCCGAGTCCGCCACGTGGTGGTGCGTCACGCGCCACGTGGTGGTCCGTCACGCGCCACGTGCTGGTCCGTCACGCGCCACGTGGTGGTGCGTCACGCGCCACGTGGTGGTGCGTCTCGCACCCCCCTGTGGAGCATCTCGGGAGTGCGAGACGCACCACCAGGGGGTGCAACCGTTGCAACCGTTGCAACCGTTGCAACTGCTTCTTTCGGTTGCAAGTCTTCCGTTTGAGCCGAGCATGTCGCGCGTTCCAACAATTGCAACTGTTTCATTTGGTTACAGCCGGTCCGTCAAATGTTCTTCAACCGTTGCAACTGTTTCAATTTTTCCTGTTTCAATCGTTGCAACTGCTTCATTGCGTCGCAGTGGTTTCATTTCTTGCCCAGTTGCTTCAGTTGCAAGTCTTCCTTTTGGTTGCAGCTGCGTCATCAACTGCCTCATCAACCGCTGCAACCGATTCAATCGTTCCGACTGCTTTGTTTCGGCTGCCAATTGCCCCGGCAGTCTGTCACAGGCTACACTGGGGATCTTTGTCTTTGTGTGTTTACGGGCTCTACTGCTACTCGCTACTAACAGCACTTGCCCCTTCAGCCTGTCACAGGCTACACGGGGGACCTTTGTCTTTGTGTGTTCATAGGCGTTGCTGCTACTCGCTACTAACAGCACTTGCCCCGGCAGTCTGTCGCAGGCTACACGGGGGAGCTTTGTCTTTGTGTGTTCACAGGTGCTGCTACTCGCTACTAACAGCACTTGCCCCGGCAGTCTGTCGCAGGCTACACGGGGGAGCTTTGTCTTTGTGTGTTCACAGGCGCTGCTACTCGTCGCAGGCTCCCAAGCTCCGCTAACCAACGCTGTCCGCCTAAGCTACCCCCCACACCCCCCCCCACCCCCACCCACCCACAGAGTCAACTCTTCGCCCGACGGGGACGAGTAGCCCATTACGCCGTCGTCCCACCCCCCCCCCCCCCAGCAACCGCCCCACCTCGACCACACGCCAACACACACGTGACCCCACCCTGACCCCCGACCATGTGTCCGTCCGCACGCAGGTGGGGCGGTAGGGGCGAGAGCGAGCGGACGAGGCGCGGGGCCCTCGCGGCGCGGCGAGGCTCTCGCGTCCAGAGCGGGCATGGAGGCCGGAGCGTCCAAGCACGGCTACGGACACAAACGCTCGCACAGGAAGAAGAAGCAGCAGCAGCAGCAGCAGCGGACCGAGGAGCGGAGTCGCTACGATCCTCGGCCCGGCATGGGGATGCACTACGACAACCTGGCAGTCAGTAGGTTGGGGGCATGACCTCGTAAGGTCTCTGTGTGTGCGTCTTGTGTGTGTGCCTCTGTGGGTGTCTCTGTGTGTCTGTGTGTGTGTCTGTGTGTGTCTGTGTGTGTGTCTTGTGTGGGTCACTGTGGGTCTCTGTGTGTCTGTGTGTGTGTCTTGTGTGGGTCACTGTGGGTCTCTGTGTGTCTGTGTGTGTGTCTTGTGTGGGTCACTGTGGGTCTCTGTGGGTCTCTGTGGGTCTGTGTGTGTGTACGTTGGGTGTCTGTGGGTCTCTGCGGGTCTGTGTGTGTCTGTGTGTGTGTCTTGTGTGTGTCTCTGTGGGTCTCTGTGTGTTTGTGTGTGTGTCTTGTGTGTGTCTCTGTGGGTCTCTGTGGGTCTCTGTGTGTGTACGTTGGGTGTGTGTGGGTCTCTGTGGGTCTCTGTGGGTCTGGTTATCTGTGGGTCTCTGTGGGTCTCTGTGGGTCTGGGTGTCTGTGGGTGTCTGTGGGTCTCTGTGGGTCTGGGTGTGTGTGGGTCTCTGTGGGTCTCTGTGGGTCTCTGTGGGTCTGGGTGTCTGTGGGTCTCTGTGGGTCTCTGTGGGTCTGGGTGTCTGTGGGTCTCTGTGGGTCTGGGTGTCTGTGGGTCTCTGTGGGTCTCTGTGGGTCTCTGTGGGTCTGGGTGTCTGTGGGTCTCTGTGGGTCTAGTTGTCTGTGGGTCTGGGTCTCTGTGGGTCTCTGTGGGTCTCTGTGGGTCTCTGTGGGTCTGGGTGTCTGTGGGTCTCTGTGGGTCTGGTTGTCTGTGGGTCTCTGTGGGTCTGGGTGTCTGTGGAACGCGTGGCGTTCTAACGGCGAGTGTTCCGCCGTTCTTTCGCCGATAAGAAGACGTCATCATCATTATCACCGTCGCCGTGATCAGTGTGTGAGCGTGAGGACTGCCACAACATTTGATACCCTTGGGTTGGGTTTGACAGAAGGATGATGACGATGATGATGATGACGATGATGATGATGATGACGATGGTGATGATGACGACGATGGTGACGACGACGACGACGATGATGACGACGATGACGATGATGATGACGACGATGATGACGACGATGACAACGATGATGATGACGATGATGACAACAATGATGACGACGACGATGACGACGACGATGATGACGACGACGACGACGATGACGACGACGACGATGACGACGACGACGACGACGACGATGATGACGACGATGACGATGATGACGACGATGACGATGATGACGACGACGATGATGACGACGACGACGACGATGATGATGATGATGTATCCTTTGTCTCCCTTTTGCAGACAACTGCGTGGATTCGAACGCAGCCTATCAGCAGTGCTGGCTCAGCCCTCCGGTGACGCAAGGTGGTGCCTGCAGCTACCTGCCTTGCGAAACAGCACCACACGCACACACAAACAACAACAACAACAGCAGTCGGTTGACGTCATCACAGCGCTCGTCCCAGGCTAGGTGCATTTTGATGCCGTGTGAAGTATTGAACGCCCATCGGCAGGAGGTCACGGGACAGACCCATCAGGTGCCGTGGGTTGACTGACAAAGACAAAGATCCGCCGTGTAGCCTGTAACAGACCGTTGGGGCAAGTGCTGTTAGCGAGCACCTATGAAGGCCGGCACGGCACACGAGGGGGTGGGTGGCCAGCACCACGCCCGGCCGTCTTTGTCTCCCCGGTGGCGATCTTTACACACCACACCAGGTACTCATTTGAGTCAACCTAGGGGAGGCCCAGGACCGGTTCAAATAATCGTCACTGGTGAGCGGGCATCGAACTCAGGTTGCCAGGTTCATAGCGCAGCATAGCGCTAACCGCTCCAAACTGACACTACACACACAACAAAGACACACACACTACACACACAACAAAGACACACACACACTACACACACAACAAAGACACACACTACACACACAACAAAGACACACACACTACACACACACAACAAAGACACACACACTACACACACAACAAAGACACACACACTACACACACAACAAAGACACACACTACACACACAACAAAGACACACACACTACACACACACAACAAAGACACACACACACTACACACACAACAAAGACACACACACACACTACACACACAACAAAGACACACACACACACTACACACACAACAAAGACACACACACACTACACACACAACAAAGACACACACACACACTACACACACAACAAAGACACACACACACACTACACAACAAAGACACACACACACTACACAACAAAGACACACACACTACACAACAAAGACACACACACACTACACACACAACAAAGACACACACACACTATTCTGGCGAATTGCCCGATGATGCTGGAAGTATTTACCGGCGAAACGTCGTACTCAAACTGTAAATGTGGATTAACTCTTCAACACACCGGTGGGCTGAAGTAGTGAATTATTTGTCTTTTGTCAACGTGACACTTTTCTTTGCTGATTGGCCGTGTCGGGTGGTGGAGGGTTACGACACATTTATAAATAAACGCGATCTAACCCAAAAACCTTTATTATGAATAATATTGGTCGCGAAAGCCTACGTGTTAAACTGACACACACACTACACACACAACAAAGACACACACACACTACAAACACAACAAAGACACACAGACACACTACACACACAACAAAGACACACACACACTACACACACAACAAAGACACACTACACACACAACAAAGACACACACACACTACACAACAAAGACACACACACACTACACACACAACAAAGACACACACACACTACACACACAACAAAGACACACACTACACACACAACAAAGACACACACACACTACACACGCAACAAAGACACACACACTACACACACAACAAAGACACACACACTACACACACAAAAAAGACACACACACACTACACACACACAACAAAGACACACACTACACACACAACAAAGACACACACTACACACACAACAAAGACACACACACACTACACAGACAACAAAGACACACACACACTACACACACAAAAAAGGCACACACACTACACACACAACAAAGACACACACTACACACACAACAAAGACACACACTACACACACAACAAAGACACACACTACACACACAACAAAGACACACACACTACACACACAACAAAGGCACACACACACCACACACAACAAAGACACACACACACTACACACACAACAAAGACACACACACACTACACACACAACAAAGACACACACACACTACACACGCAACAAAGACACACACTACACACACAACAAAGACGCACACACTACACACACAACAAAGACACACACTACACACACAACAAAGACACACACACTACACACACAACAAAGACACACACACACTACACACGCAACAAAGACACACACTACACACACAACAAAGACGCACACACTACACACACAACAAAGACACACACACACTACACACACAACAAAGACACACTACACACACAACAAAGACACACACTACACACACAACAAGGACACACTACACACACAACAAAGACACACAACAAAGACACACACACACTACACACACAACAAAGACACACACTACACACACAACAAAGACACACACACTACACACACAACAAAGACACACTACACACACAACAAAGACACACACACACTACACACACAACAAAGACACACACACACACTACACACACAACAAAGACACACACACTACACACACAACAAAGACACACACACACTACACACACAACAAAGACACACACACACACTACACACACAACAAAGACACACACACACACTACACACAACAAAGACACACACACTACACACACAACAAAGACACACACACTACACACACAACAAAGACACACTACACACACAACAAAGACACACACACACTACACACACAACAAAGACACACACACACTACACACACAACAAAGACACACTACACACACAACAAAGACACACACACACTACACACTCAACAAAGACACACACATACTACACACACAACAAAGACACACACTACACACACAACAAAGACACACACACTACACACACAACAAAGACACACTACACACACAACAAAGACACACACACACTACACACACAACAAAGACACACACACACACTACACACACAACAAAGACACACACACTACACACACAACAAAGACACACACACACTACACACACAACAAAGACACACACACACACTACACACACAACAAAGACACACACACACACTACACACAACAAAGACACACACACTACACACACAACAAAGACACACACACTACACACACAACAAAGACACACTACACACACAACAAAGACACACACACACTACACACACAACAAAGACACACACACACTACACACACAACAAAGACACACACACTACACACACAACAAAGACACACACACACACTACACACTCAACAAAGACACACACATACTACACACACAACAAAGACACACACTACACACACAACAAAGACACACACATGCACGCACACACATGGCCCCTATGTACGAATATACGTTGGACTTGTTTTTTGAACCACCTCCCCACCAACGCATCCCTCCCCACCGTCCCTCCCCACCATCCCTCCCCACCGTCCCTCCCCACCGTCCCTTCCCACCGTCCCTCCCCACCGTCCCTCCCCACCGACACTCCATAACGAGCGATCGCATCTGTGCATCTCGCTTGTGACTTTCAGAGATGTCCATCAGCCAGATGTACATCCACAACTCGGCCAGAGGGAAGCAGCGAGCAGCGGCCGTGATGGAAGAGAGCGACTCATCCGGTGGGTGTGCACATCGTGCCACGGTCACTATGAGATGTTGACTACCTCGCCTGGTACGCAGGAGGGCGTGGGTTCGATTCCGACCCTGACAACGCCTGCTGCCGTATATTTGGAGTCTGCGTCTCTCTCTTATCATCATCATCATCACGGTGGCTAGGAGATGTTAACTATCTCACCTGGTACGCAGGAGGTCGTGGGTTCGATTCCGATGCTGACGATGCCTGCTGCTGTATATTTGGAGTCTGCGTCTCTCTCTTATCATCATCATTACGGTGGCTAGGAGATGTTGACTACCATGCCTGGTACGCAGGAGGTCGTGGTTTCGATCCTGACGATGCCTGCGGTGGATTTGGAGCTTTGCACGTCTCTCTCTCTCCCCGTGGTCGCGTGGATTTTTTCTCCAGGTCCTTTGGTTTCCCCCCTCCGCGTGCACCATCGGCGTCACGGGTTTCGGAATATTTGCCCGCTGCGATGCATTTCCACGCGATAAGCCACTTCGCCGGGCTATCGTTTGTGGCCAGGTCGCGTCCGACAAGCGATCTCATTGCTCGGTTGTATCCACGCGCGTTTTCAATCCCGACACGCTGCTTGGGCCGGCGTGCGGCACGCCATCGTTTAAAGACGACATGAACCTGCTCGTGCAGCGCGCTCCCAATGTTGCCAGATCTGGGCGATTGGTGTTGGTTAGCTGCGGCAGTTTTCTCGCGCGCGTGACAGAGCACGCTGACACGACGGACGGGCCGACTCATGAAAGGATGCATCACGTTTCCCGGCAACCGACTAAAAACAACGTTTTTAAAAAAAAAAATGTTTTACGAAGTTGGGTCCACCTAGCTGCTATGTAGCTGCTCTTTTTCAGAAGTGACCCCGGTGCTATCAGGAACGATAGCCCAACGAGGTGGCCTGTCGTCGTCGTCGTCATCATCATCATCACGTGGATATGTATAGCAGCGGACAAATCACTCTAAAACACGTGGTGACGTCGTTTCTAAATTTGGAGGTGAAAAACCGGAGGACCCGGAAGGAAAATCCACTCGACCACGGGGAGAGAGAGAGAGAGAGACGCAAAACTTCAAATAGCAGGCGTCGTCAGGGTCGAGATGAAATCCACGACCTCCTGTAGACCAGGCGGGGTCGCTAACATCTCCGAGCCACCGTGATGATGATGAGAGAGAGACGCAGACTCCAAATATACAGCAGCAGGCATCGTCAGGTTCGGGATCGAACCCACGACCTCCTGCACACCAGGTGAGGGAGTTAACATCTCATAGCCATCGTGATGATGATGAGAGAGAGAGACACAGACTCCAAATCTACAGCAGTAGCAGGCATCGTCGGGTTCGGGATCGAACCCACGACCTCCTGCGCACCAGGCGAGGTCGCTAACATCTCGCCTGGTGCACAATGAGTAGTCTACCCTCGGGCCTGTGCGAGGGTTTCACTCGTCTGCCGTCCACCCGACAGACATGGACGAGAGCTACGATGACAACGACTACGACCCACACCCCGAGGTGGCCGTGAACTCCCACCACGCGGGGGGGCGAGCCGTCCCCTCCCACGGCTGGATCAAGGACGAGGAGGAGGAGGAGGAAGAAGAGGAGGAGGAGCTGGAGGAGGAGGAGGGGGAAGAGGAGGGGGAAGAAGAGGAGGACGACGAGGAGGAGAGCAGCAGCGAGGGTGAGAGTCGGTGACGCTGTCCGGGAGACGGAGTTTGGGAAACTCTCTTGAGGCTCACAATGCGGAGGTCGCCGCGTCTGTCGCACGCCGCTTACAGACGCGCTGCTCCTGCGGCCGTCTGGAACGCTCTCTTCCTGCCGATATAAGGGAGAAGCTGCTGGGAGCTACACCACTTTGAAAGCATCGTCATCTCGATGTAATTTAATCTGGCTGTCGCCTGATGATGCTGCTTGTGATTACTGGCGAGATGTCGTACTCAGATTGTGAATGTTGTTGTGGGTTTACTCTCCAACACACAAGCGGCTAGTGCTGTACTAGTAACGCACTGATTGTGATTGTACTCAGTACTCAGATTGTAAATGTTGTTGTGGGTTTACTCTCCAACACACAAGCGGTTAGTGCTGTACTAGTAACGCACTGATTGTGATTGTACTCAGTACTCAGATTGTGAATGTTGTAGTGGGTTTACTCTCCAACACACAAGCGGTTAGTGCTGTACTAGTAACGCACTGATTGTGATTGTACTCAGTACTCAGATTGTAAATGTTGTTGTGGGTTTACTCTCCAACACACAAGCGGTTAGTGCTGTACTAGTAACGTACTGATTGTGATTGTACTCAGTACTCAGATTGTGAATGTTGTAGTGGGTTTACTCTCCAACACACAAGCGGTTAGTGCTGTACTAGTAACGCACTGATTGTGATTGTACTCAGTACTCAGATTGTAAATGTTGTAGTGGGTTTACTCTCCAACACACAAGCGGTTAGTGCTGTACTAGTAACGCACTGATTGTGATTGTACTCAGTACTCAGATTGTGAATGTTGTAGTGGGTTTACTCTCCAACACACAAGCGGTTAGTGCTGTACTAGTAACGCACTGATTGTGATTGTACTCAGTACTCAGATTGTAAATGTTGTAGTGGATTTACTCTCCAACACACAAGCGGTTAGTGCTGTACTGGTAACGAATTGGCCACGTTCTGTTCACGTGACACACCCCTTACTGATTGGCTGTGTCGGGTGGTGGCGGGTTTAACGACACAACATTTATATTCACGCGATCTAACCCCAACAAAAATGCCTACGTGTTAAACTGAGCGGGGCGTTGGGGGGAGGGGGGGGGGGCGCGGGGTGGTGTCTGCTCGGTGACACCGCTGCGCCGTCACTCATTCCCACGGCTCCGCCAGCACCAACACGTGGGGGGATCGAGCACGTCCGGCACGACGGCGGATAGCCCCCCCCCCCCCGCACCGTACATCGCCGGCGAGCGGGGATAACGCACGAGCCTCAACCCTCCGCCGTCGGTCGTCTTCTACGTGACGACAACAACAACAACAAAATCGTCTCGATTTAAAGCTTTCGTGACTGCAATGATTCATCTTCTTTGGTTCTTTCGGTAAAGTCACGTAGAATGAGAATAAAATAATAAATTGATAAAATAAAATAACACAATAATATTCTCACGACGTTTCGGCCACAACACAAGCGGCCTTCATCAGGTGAAGGGACGAGACTGTCTGGTAGGACAGCGCTGCGGCGGGGGGGGCAAGCGAGCGCTCTGGCACCGATAGACCCCCAGCGATGGCGTTTTTTGAGAAACCGTTGGCCAGTAGGGGGCACGCGGGGGGGGGGCACGCGGGGGGGGGGGGGCACGCGGGGGGGGGGGGGGAACACGCGGGGGGGGGGGGTCCCTCCTTGAGCGACGGGAACACTCCGCGGGGGATTTGTGGACTTCGCCTTGGGGTGGTCTCGCCCCAGTTTGCCGGATGAACGTTGAGATGTATAAGGCGCACGGGGCGATCAATACGTTCTGGATTGGTCTGTAATAAGGTAGGGCACTGATAAGGGGTTCACAGGTTTGTAGTAGTGTAGTGTATAGTGTAGTGTATAGTGTAGTGTATAGTGTAGTGTATAGTGTAGTGTATAGTAGTGTAGTGTGTAGTGGTGTAGTGTATAGTAGTGTAGTGTGTAGTGGTGTAGTGTATAGTTTAGTGTATAGTAGCGTAGTGTATAGTGGTGTAGTGTATAGTTTAGTGTATAGTAGCGTAGTGTATAGTGGTGTAGTGTATAGTGTAGTGTATAGTAGCGTAGTGTATAGTGGTGTAGTGTATAGTGTATTGTATAGTAGCGTAGTGTATATTAGTGTAGTGTATAGTAGTGTAGTGGATAGTGGCGTAGTGTATAGTGTAGTGTATAGTAGTGTAGTGTATAGTAGTGTAGTGTATATTGTAGTGTATAGTAGTGTAGTGTATAGTAGTTTAGTGTATAGTAGCGTAGCTGTCAACCCATACGGTTTACTCCATATTCTTGTGCAGGGAAATTGAGTTTTCAGGTTCATTCGGCGTACAGCCGTTTCAATACGTGCAAAAATAACAATGTGTCTCTTTTTGATTTAAAGCTTTCGTGACTGCAGGGATTCATATTCTTTGTTCTTTCGGTAAAGTCACGTAGAAGGGAAACAATAAAATAATAAAAATATAAAACAATACATTTCTAATAATAAACAATAAAATTATCACGACGTTTCGACTGCAACACAAGCAATCATCATCAGGTGATGAATATGATGATGATTGCTTGTGTTGCAGTCGAACGTCGTGAGAATTTTATTGTTTTATATATTTTTTATTTTATTGTTTCCCTTCTACGTGACTTTACCGAAAGAACCAAGAATATAATGTGTCTCTTTGTTTGTGTTTCTCTCCTTGTGATGGGACTTTGTCGAATGAACGTTGAGATTTATAAGGGGCATGGGGTGACCAATAAGTTCGGAATTCGTCTGTGATAAGGCAGGGCACTGATAATGGCTTGACAGGGGTGTTAATGCGAGAACAATTCTGTAATATTCTCAAAAATGGGGCACCTTTAACTGCCACTTAAAAAAACTCGTACATAGCAGTTGTGGAAGTCTATTCAATGTGCAAATACTTTTTAAGTGCCTGGCTTAGAGATCAAAACCATTGTAGCTCTTTAACCGTCTCTGTCAAGTTTTATCTAATAATTATTAGTCGAATTGGATGTTAACTCCATCATATGCGGGCTTTGTACACTTAGCGCCATTTAGTCACTTTTTTTTAAAGAAATGCGGGCTCCCAACGGCAACCCCTGATTTTAACAATGATGTCTGTGGGAAGTTCGAATTCTATTCAAGTGATTCCTGGCTAAGTAGCAGTTCCCAGGAACGCATCCCTTACGCAGAGCTGGGAGCGGGGGTGGAATTCCCGGATAGGCTTGCCGGAAATCGCACAAGCGGAACCGGCACGAAGCAGGGGTCGCCTGTGCGTGTATCGAACACATTTTCTTACGCTACGTCTCACCGCAAACGTAAACGCAAAGTGTCCTTTTAGCAACGGCCGCTGCTATGCCTCCCTGAATAAAATTGATGCCGTTCTGGTCACGCCCACCCACCCACCCTGCAACTCGCCAGACGTTTCGGAACGCTAGATTGGCAGCGAGAGCGTGTCGATACCGGTGACAACAAATGTGTCCACGCTGTTTTGGCCGGGCGTGCGTGAGCAGATGACGAGAGCGACGAGGGGCCGCCCGCGCCACGGGCCTACGCGGAGGCCTACGCCGTCGACCCGGCCCCCAAGAGGCAGCAGCCGCAGCGACAGCAGCCGGCGCAGCAGCAGATGCAGCCGGCGCGGCAGCAACCGCAGCGGCAACAGCCCCAGCGGCAGCAGCCGGTGCGGCAGCAGATGCAGCCGGTGCGGCAGCAGCAGCAGCAGCATCCGCAGCAGCACCAGCAGCAGCAACCGCAGCAGCAACCGCAGCAGCAGCATCAGCCGCAGCAGCAGCAGCAGCGGCAACAGCAGCAGCGGCAGCGTCGGCAGCAGCAGCAGCAGCAGGGGGGGGCGCCCACTCGCGAGAAGCCGCACATGTGCGGCGACTGCGGCAAGAGCTTCACTCACGTGTCCAGCCTCAAGATCCACCGGCGCACGCACACGGGGGAGCGCCCCTACGGCTGCAAGGAGTGCACCAAGGCCTTCTCCACCGTGTCGAGCCTCAAGATCCACTTCCGCACGCACACGGGCGAGCGTCCGTACGCGTGCGACGAGTGCGGCAAGAGCTTCTCGCAGATCAACACGCTGAAGAACCACCACCGCACGCACACGGGCGAGAAGCCCTTCCTGTGCACGGACTGCGGCAAGTGCTTCACCAACATGTCGGGCCTGAAGACCCACCGGCGCACGCACACGGGCGAGAAGCCCTTCGCCTGCGTCGACTGCGGCAAGTGCTTCTCGCAGGCCAACGGCCTCAAGGACCACCAGCGCACGCACACTGGCGAGCGGCCCTTCGCGTGCCTCGAGTGCGGCAAGGCCTTCTCCAACGTGTCGGCGCGCAAGATGCACATGCGCACGCACAACAAGATCCGCGCCTAGACTCGGCGGGGGGGGCGGGGGGGGGTAGCGACAGCGCAAGGCGTGTCGGGGCGGGCTCCCTCCGGGTCGGTTGCATTAATTCGAATTTCCCCGCTCCACCGTAAGAATCGCCGGGCGGCTTCCAACGGTCTCCGCAGTGCGACCCGGCGCAGCGACGAGAGGAGGAGTGCATCGAGCGGCGAGTCTTATCTACACCGGTGGTTCTCAACCGGGGAAGAGGGCGAGGGGGGGGGGCATCCGCGTACTCTCCGTGGGGGAGGGGGGGGGGTACACGTGGCAATGTCCCAGCGGGGAGGTTTGTCGAGGGGTGATTTATAAATGTGTGAAGTGACGTCGAACGTGAGCGTCATTGGGGAACAATGACGTTGGATGTTTCTGCCAGGGTAAAATAACAACGTATGAAAAAACAGAATGGGTCTTTACCCTTACTGGCAATGAAACAGGAGTTGTGTTAAGATGTTCAAACACCAAAAAGAAACATTTTGCAAGGAATCAAGTTACTGCATTAGCCCCACGCGGTACTTATGGTGAACATGCAAACTAAAACACGCTCTGATAATAAATGGCATTGTCTTGGAAACTGATTGGCTGACACCAGAGAGGGCCTTTCCTATGGCCTCATCTCACCACCAGCGTCAGACGAGAGAACAGCGCCAAAGGGCGGACAGTTTTATCGTAGGTCCCATGAGGTTTTGTCGTAGTTAAAATAACTATGATAAAATGTAAACCCACACAGTAACCTAGAAACGCCACTGAAAGACTTTTTTAAACTCACTGATCGTAAAACAATGCAGGTCTTCAAGGGTTACCGGCCACCGTGGTCACACGACGTCACACTCGCAGAGCGTCCGTTGAATTTCGTTTTTTATCCGCTTGCAGTTACCGGCACCTGGTTGGGGTTTCCCTCGCAAAATTGACAATCGGTTAAGACATTGATGTTCATTTTTCACACATTTATGTCTCAGAACCACGTTGGGTCAAACACGTAGGGGGAGGTGGGGGGGGGGGCGGTGTGGGGTGTGCTACTCGGTTGAAATCAAATTCAACAAGGCGGGGGGGGGAGGGTAGAGTCGAGTAGCAACCCACGAGATTGAGAACAACCGCTCACGTAGCCGACTCTCCGAAGCCTTAGCTGTTGTCAATACGGTTAGAGGGCCTTCGTACGCAGGCCCACGTCGGGCAACCAGGCCACTAGGCAGAGCGATGCCGTAGCCGGGCTTTTGGGGGGGGCGCGGGGCGGTTAACCATTCATCAACCACCGCGGTTGCATCTTCCACGCGTGGGTTGCCGGCTGTGTACACAAGTTATCTTCCGAGTGAACGTAGCTACCTTAGGATCGTCACTCCCCAAGCAGTACTGGTGTCGCGACGGGTTCGATCGAGGCCCCCCTTTTTTTAACTGTTACCTTTTTAATACGTCGGGGAAGTCCCCGGGCACCTCGGGGTCTCATGTCGATAGTGCAACGCTCCGCTGGCCTGCATGGTATTGCGGAGATATTTTCCAACATGTTATCTTCTGTCATTTATTAAACCTGTCAGGCTTCTAAAATATAATTGAACATTTTAAATTGCAGTATTATTCAGAGTGGCGACCTTTTGAGTGAAACCTGCCTTCACCTTGCCCTTGCAACTTTTTTAATTCTCAAAAATATCGGAGCATTAAAATACCTGAAGTACTTGGTGAACTAGGATATTGAGCCCGATTTTTCGACTCAATATTTTCATTTCGAACTCATCGTAGTTTACGGCGACTGAACATCGATCATCGATCTCCCGGTCTCCATAGCAACAATGCAAGCCACGCCAGCAGTGCGCCACGTTGGCCGCTTGGGACGCGGGTCCTCCAAACTGAACACTGAGGGACTCTCCCGGGTGAAGTTGCGAGGATCTCGCGACCAGAACATTGATGTCCTGACGCTGCCAGTAAACCCCAATGTCTTTGAGCGCCCTACACGCCGGGCGCTACCGCATCCAACGGATACAACCTCATGACGAGCCACTGCCACCCCGAAATACGGCGCCAGCCATATACACGGGAAGAGCACCACAAAACTGAAAAAGACGCCACCTACACCACCTCCAGCATCGAGGTATGGTGGGCGTTGGGTGGGGGGAGCAGTACATCCTCAAACGCGTGTGCAAAGCCCCGAATTACAAAACGGCCAAAGCCGGCCGCTCTCCCAGCGCGCCAAATCCCAGCCCTACGACACGTTGGTGACTTTCACGGGCACCGTTAACTCCGTGGCGTTAGGCAGTGGATCGGACCTCGCCGGCCGGACGTCCGCCAAAGATCTGCGCCCCGGGTTTTTGGGATCCGAAGCGGCGAGCAGCTCTCCACTCGGCTCGCTGGGCAACGTGACGGCAACCGCCCCCCTCCTCCCCCCCCCCCAGGACCTCGAACGAGACAGGTTTTGTTGCGTTAGATCGCATAAATATATAAATGCGTCGTTAAACCGGCCACCACCTGACGCAGCCAACCAGTAAAGGTTTGTCATGTAAACAGAACGTGCTGAGTACCGAGTACAATTACAATCAGTACTTAACTGGTACGGCACACTGGTGTGTTGCAGAGCAAATCCACAACATTTACAATCTGAGTACGACGTTTGGCCAGTAATTACAACTAGCATCATTAGGCGTCAGCCAGATCTGTGGAGAAATCCTCCTGTTTCTATCCCTCCAAGTAGCAGTAACATACCGATTGTGATTGTACTCGGTACTCAGATTGTAAATGTTGTGGATTTGCTCTGCAACACACAACCGGCTAGTGCTGTACTAGTAACGAATTGGCCACATTCTGTTTACGTGACACAACTCCTTACCAATTGGCTGTGTCGGGTGGTGGCGGGTTTAATGATGCATTTATATATTCACGCGATCTAACCCAACAAAACCTCTATTATGGATGACATTGCCCGTGTTAAGTTTACAACCTAGTAGTCCTGTGAACTACGTGTAAACTACGTGCTAAACTAACTATGACTAACTACGTGTTAAACTGGGGGGGGCACGCTTCACGCGTCCCGCGGAACCTGGCCAAGGCCGACTGGGAGGCTGTAGAGGGAGCGAGATGAGTAGAAATTCCACCGCGGCAAACCACGGAGGAATGCTATCGCCGCTTTATTGGCCCCCTCACTGCGGCCGCCAAGACAAACACACGGACGGCGATAGTCACCCCAGTGCTTTCCAGGTGAAGCCTTCGTTGCAAAAAAAAAAGTATTTAAAAAACACCCAGATTCCACACTTGGGCTGATGTGGGGCAGGCCAGATCTGTCGTTGTATCGTGTGCATTAGTCTCCGTCGACAACAGTCCGGATGCGACTGAAGCACCATCGAATAACGTTCTCCCTCAAGGCTTTGTTTACAGCTGAGTAATGTATTTATTATAGCTGCTGTTGGATCGAATCGACTTCGCTCTCAAGGCCGTGATACACTGGGGGCAACTGTGGGACATTTGAAACGACGAAACACATTTTTAAATTTTTTTACCAGGTGAGGCCAATTGTTGGCAGAAACTTTTTATTTATTTGAGCAACAATGCTGTTGGATCTAATCGACTTCGCTCTCAAGGCCGTGATACACTGGGGGGCAACTGTGGGACAAATTCAAAGATTTTGTTGTTATTTTACCAGGTAAGGCCAATTGTTGCCAGCAACTTTTTTTCTGTGAGCAACTATGGCAGCGTCAACTGGTGACCCGCGGGAGGGGGGCCCCCATTGGCCAACGAAGGCTCTGGGAGCGGCCCGCCAGCCCCCCCCCCCCCCCCCGCCGAGCCCCCCAGGTGCTCCGTACACCGACAACCGTCGATACGGATTCACAGAGAGACGGACAAGGGAGGCGGACGACGGGAGCCGAGGGGGGCTCGAGCGAGCGAGCGAGCGACAAGCGTCTCGAGGTGATACGGCGGCGACGCTCAAGGCGCGCGGATTCGTGGTCGCGTGCTGCAGGTGGCACGGAGCGTCGCGGGACGAATACGACGGCGCGTGGCACGCGAGCACCTGCTGGTGTTATTGTGACCCACTGGAAGACGCGGTCATTCGTTTAGAGACCGGGCGACGCCGTTCTTAGGCAATGGAAAGGTTTTTGCGTTGTTTAAAAGTTTGGTTGATGAACCGGCGGTGATTGGTCTACAGAATACGGTAAAAAAAAACCTACGGTAGTCATGTGACCTCTTCATAATAGAGGTTTTTTGGGGTTAGATTGCGTAGATATAAATGTGTCGTTAAACCCGCCACCACCCGACACGGCCAAACGGTAAGGTTTCTCACGTAAACAAAACGCGGCCAATTCGTTACTAGTACAGCACTAACCGGTTGTGTGTTGCAGGGCAAATCCACAACATTTACAATCTGAGTACGACGTTTTGCCAGTAATTACAACTAGCATCAGTCATTACTGGCGAAACGTCGTACACACCAGTTAGTGCTGAACTAGTAGCGCATTGGCACGTTCTGTTTACGTGACAAACCTTTACTAATTAGCTGTATGGGGTGGTGGCGGGTTTAACAACACATTTACATTTTCGCGATCTAACCCAAAAAAACCCTCTATTGTGGATAATATTGGTCGCGAAGCCCTCCTACGCGTCAAAATGTGACCTCTTACCTCTGTTCCTATTGGACGCTGCAATGCCAATTGCCCGCTCGAGGGAGCTGTGCGGTCAGATTTGTCCAGAAATGGGCACAGTTTTTGTTTATTCACAAAAGAGAACAAGAAAAAGGTGGGCGGCAGCAGCAGCAGCTGTTGTTGTTGTTGCTGACAATAGCCAGGCAAAGACCGCGATCCATTTTGCCCAAGTACGGTGGCCCCGAGCCATGCTGACGAGTATTTCATACTGATGAGTATTTCATACGGACTACGCTGATGGGTATGATTATAAAATACTCATCAGTATTTCATACTCATATCCATCAGCGGAGTCTTTTTTTTAACGAGCATTCAAACGAGTCGAGTTGGATTTTCCAACTTAGCGAAACATTTATTTTTTTGTAAGTCAGATCCTTCTCTGAACATTGAACGCCGATTAATTATTTGGCCTTCACGAGCTACGGGAAACTAACCTGCACGGAAGTTCACCGCACGTTAACATCCTTTCGTAGGACAACTATCTTTTTTACGCGTATCATAGAATAGCCGAATAGAATGTTATTTTACTTTGACGTGCATATGTATTTTTTTTGTTATCTCAATGCTAAGACTTAAACTAGTCTAGATGGTTGTGTTTTATTTGTGTTAAATCGA